ATAGTGGTTTCTAGGTATATCCAATATGTTAAAATCATATATAAATATATATTCATATTTATGAACTGCGCAGGGGTATTAAAGATTTCAAGTGAAGAATGATGTGTGTATTATTCGTTTATTTCTTCGTATTTCCTTCAATTCTCTTGATATGTTTTATCTCTGGAAGCTGCAAGAAAAATAAATATATTTATTGTATAAAAATTTCAGATTAAATATTGAATGACTATTGTTTTAACTAAATTATGAAATAGATTTCAGATGGTAACAATATTCAATTCAATTAAAATCAAGATACATTTTATTGACCATAATTATTAAAGTATAGTATATGAAAACGCAACAAAAAGAATAGCATGAAGCACATACTAAATTCCATTGTTTAAATTATAAGATCATGTTGCAATCATGAATATATCACCGTAAATGGAAGAAAGAGAATATTGTAGAAAGATATTTTGTTAGTGGAAAGATAGCAAAACAATAATACTTAGGCCTATGATAAACCGATTCACGAACTAAAATATATAGGGCATAGGCATATTAAATTTTTCGTTTTCGCAACTCCTTCGGCGCTCCATATATTTGTTCGAAATAAACCGCGACCGAAACGAAGTGCGACCGAAACAAAGCGCGACCGAAACGAAGCGCGACCGAAATGATCGGCTACCCTGTCGACCGGGGTGGTGTCTGATCATGAAATAGAGAGGTCTACTAATTACTACAAATTTCTCTATGTTAAGAAGAAGGTGAGGCGCAAGCAAGTGCAACAGGAACGGGTTATATGTTAACGTTATCAATTTTAAACCACAGTAATTATTTGTTTAAACATGAAATGTTTAACATAATCCACAGGACTTGGCCCAACTATCCCAGAAATAGGTCTTGATCGTTCTAAGTATGAGGTACACGCTAAAACCTGCTTCACCATGGTGTCACCAGTAGTGGAGCAACAGCTTAAATATCAGGGTACAAAGTCGGTTATCTTGTGCGGAATTGAAACACAGGCTTGCATCCAGCAGACTACACTGGATTTATTGGAGCGGGATTTTGATGTTCATGTTATTGCAGACGGATGCTCTTCCAGAAGCATGGTTGACAGGTATGCTTGCATTATTATGCCCAATTCTGAAGTAACCTATAAATTAGATATTTGCTGATAAATTTGTATTCTGAAGAAGTATGCAGAAAACACCATAAGAAGTGTCATGGAAGTACATATTTGTATGTAAACAAATTATAATTTTTAAAAGTCAATCATGATTTCATCACTGCAACTCCCAATATTATTTGCCTATCTACAACAGTAAAATATTTTCCCACATAGTCCACTGCCGGCTTAACATTTCTCTGGTTCGTGTGCAAAAAAAAAGTACCTCCTTTTTGTCAATGCAAACAGTTCGAGAAATAGATTTTGAAAAATCATTAGGTTAGAGCCTTTCTTTTGCAAAGTCAATATGAAAAGACAAAAAAAGAGAGAAAAAGGCAGAATAATTGATTGCCCAGAATGCCTCGGAGGTTATTTTTGGGTGTCTAGACAACAAAAATTTTGTGGGGCATGCCGCTGGACCCCCTAGGCTAGTGTCATCTTGATCAGCCCCATCTTCAGGCCCCCCTTTTGGCCCTCTTTCTGAGCATCTCTGGATCTGCCCCTATCTTTCCTGGTCTGTTTGTAGTCATTAATTCTAACCTATCTCCACTTCTTTTTTGTCATTTGTTCCGGATGTTCTGTGTTTCATTGTTGCAAATTTTTAGTTATTCATTCTTAAAATTATTTTTTTTATTTCAATAGGATGTTTGCAATTGAGAGGATGCGGCAGAGTGGGGCATTTATCACGACCAGTGAGGCAATGCTCTTGCAATTACTTCAGGATTCTAAAAACCCAAAATTCAAAGATGTCCAAAAACTAATAATGACTTCTGCTCCGGACTCTGGTTTACTGTCAAAAATACCGGAGAATTAAATCTGGAGATTACGAGAACTGAAGTCATCTCAAGAGATATATGTAGATCTGTCAAAAAACTGTTATATGCCCATATAATAGTCATGTCAACTAAAAATTTGTCTTGACAGGCTTACCTGAGTGCTTGAGGATTAACAAAACAAAGATTGTCATTTATACCAATAATGCATTGATAATGCTTCTTTGGTTCAAAACATATTTTTTAACAATAAATATACAGTATTAATAATTACGAAATAGTAGTTGATGTGTGAAAACCCATGGTATTCTTTCAGAGCAGCTGTCCTTGTTTAGTTTTAAAGCAGCATTAATCCATTATTTAATATGGAAAGTACTCTTGCAGTATTTTATTCTGAGGCAGATACACTTTTATCCTATTTATATGACTGCCTATGCAGCAACCTTGTTTCATTCTAGTATAGGTTAAGATGTGTATAAGAGACAGACTCTCGTGTGGTAACTAAAACAATGCTAGTTCAGAGTATTACTAGTACTACAGCACTGTAATGCATATACTGTACCTATTTTAATACACTACTAAGATAGGCTTTTATTTTTCAATCTTGATTTCAGAGGTCAAAAAAATTTTTCATTTTTTTTCAATCATATAGTGGTGTAGACTAAGCCAAACCAAGGCAATATATATACACAGCCCAGGTGTGAATGCAAATAGTGGAATACAAGCTATGTGGCTCGGTTCCAGTAGATACAGAGAATATTTTGTCATTCTTAACGTGTCCTACGAAATTCTGTCTCGTAAGAATTTACATTTTTTTCGTTCTGGTCTCTTCCTCCCCTTTCTTTTCTCTAATTTTTTTTTGGTGGGGATCTAACCCCTCATTTCCCTCTAGGTTTAATCCTTGAAATACCGTATATACTCTCGTATAAGACGAGGCTTAAAATAGCAAATTACGATCAAAAACAGGGGGTAGCCTTATACACCACACGACATACAAATTTTTAAAATCATATTTGTCTTATGTACAGATCGTCCGTAACACGCAAATATAGGAGAATACTTTAGAAAAACAGGATTTGTGTTTTCTATTATTAACAAAGGGATATTTATACCCGATATTTATAGGTTTTGTGGAAAAAACCAATGGGTTATATATAAGCTTATAACTCAGTGGAAATAACCAAGACGATAATTTTAGCATGCAAATCCTCTGTTTAAAGATCATTTACTGCCAGTCTTTCGTTCATGAAAGTTGTGTAATTACTTTGTTTGCAAGAAATTTATCAACAATAATAAAATACATTTCATTTTGTTGAAAAAAGTAGGATTACATCAGTGCTGACACAATATTGTAAGTTGTTTATATTATACTTTTCTAGGTTTGCTGTAATAGACCTACTTGGAGTAGGGTTGAAGTGAAAAGTTGCAATAATACTTTACATACTATACTAAATTCTCATTTAAGCGAAAATTTTAGGTTCGTTGATATATTAAGTTCCAATTTAATTTTATGACCCTTATCATACAGTGCATATTTCCTTTGTTTGAAACTAACGACCAATTGTTATTGATACCGCCTGTTCACAGCCAGGCTTTGCGTCATGACGTATGATTGACTCTTTCATTTTCAGCCAATCAGAGTAGATATATGCCCAGAGTGGGAAAACAAAAAATGAAAAGGATGGGTAGCGGTATTATACTGTACTGCAGTATAATAATGATTGTTTTTGATAATGAATATTGCTAGTAAACCACAGGCATTAAACTTTAAAATATTTGTTACCCCATCAATTATTTCAACGGCATAAAAATAACAATACAATTTTGTGACTTCAAATACAAGTTCTTTAAGAAACTATAAAATTAAATCAATTTTTATACAATATTTACTATTACAGACCAAATATAAACAGTCTCTCCCTCATCGATAAAAACAAAAGTGAAATAATCTATTGTTCCGATTTAAAAAAAAAAAAAAATGCCCTCCCTCATCCCGGTGTACTGCCCAATCACCACTAGAAGGACCCCACTGGAAATAAGTCTTCTGCTAGATCCTTGGTGTTTACACTAAATAAATCAAACCAAATCAAATAAAAAATCTTTCCAGATTTGATATATTTTTTACATAATATATTTTTTTAATTTATTAAATTAATAATTTCTTTAGTTATTCATTGTTTATTTTGTTTACGAATATTGAATTTATTTCGGTATATTTTAATGTGTTTATCATACAAGGTCTTGAATATGTTGTAAAATGTGTCATAAGTTCCGTCAGTATCATTGTTGGTAGCATAAACTTCTGACTAATCAGTATTTAGCAATTCAGTACCTAGAGAAAAAATAGTGGTATCATTAATTAATCTTCAAAAAATATAAGTTGGATTATTTGTTACAGATGGTTTAGTATTACCGGTATATGAAATATAAAATATTGGTAGATGATCAGTAATATTGCAAAATAATATACCAGACATGAAGTTGTCATGAAAATTAATAGAATAGATGTGACCAATTAAAAAGTTGCTCAAAATGTATCAAAGTGTGTCACTATATAAAATTGAGTGAATTTTTCTTATTTTGAGACACTTGTATTTGTTGTGATGCAATAGAAAAAAAATTAATAATAGGGGTTATTTGACCATTTGGCACACTCGAAAAATATCCCCATCCCCTTAATAGGGGTGGCCACTGTGTTAAAATATATAACGCCCCTCGTTTCACAGAAATATGTCCCCTTAATAGGGGTGTGTAAAGGAGAGGTTCTACTGTAATTAAATTTTTCAGCGGGCGGACCCGTTTTTTTCCAAGATATATAAAGCAGCAGAATCAAATGAGCGCACGATCTCTAATGGATATTAAGTAGCCTTTACTGTACTGTTTGGGTTTGATAGGTTTTTATGAGTTTCAACTACGGTACATGTTACGTATTAACATTTCCTATTTATATTAATATTTTTGTGGATGCCTGCTAATTCAAGAATAGAATATTCTATCAGAAGCCATATGCGATCTCTAATGAATATTAAGTAGCCTTTACTGTACTGTTTGATAGGTTTTTATGAGTTTCAACTACATGTTATGTATTAACATTCCTATATATTTTTGTGGATGTCTGCTAATTCAAGGATAGAATATTCTATCAGAAGCCATATACAGTAAAAAAATTAATATAATAAATACAGTCAGTTCACTTTATAAATTTATAAATACAATAGAGATGCGGCATAACTATTTCAGTGGTAGTGCTTCCCTTGTACCAACACACGGATCTCACGTTTTGATCATCTAGAAATCTACTTGCGCCAGTAGTACAGCTCACCTTGAAATACTGTATACTCTTGTATAAGACGAGGCTTAAAATAGCAAATTACGATCAAAAACAGGGGGTAGTCTTATACACCACACAACATACACATTTTTAAAATCATGTTTGTCTTATGTACAGATCGTCCGTAACACGCAAATATAGGAGAAAACAGTACTTAGAAAACAGGCTTTTGTGTTTTCTATTATTAACAAAGGGATATTTATACCCGATATTTATAGGCTTGTGGAAAAACCAATGGGTTATATATAAGCTTATAGCTCAGTGGAAATACCCAAGACAATAATTTTAGCATGCAAACCCTCTGTTTAAAGATCATCAAAAATACTAGAAATACAAGATAGAGCACTCGCACAGCAAAAATGAGGCGGAAATTGGGCCCGACGTAGGCGGCACCCTTCTTTTTTATAATGCAAGTTTTCTATACTTCAGGCGTACAGGGTGCCCTTCGGTTGCTAAGTATATCGAGACGCATACGGCGCCCTTCTTTTTCCACTAATGGAGGAAAACTTTATTACTAGAGTGCGTCCGGCCATACGATTCTGCGCTATATTGTTCTTTTATTCTTTACTGATCCATGATTAGGCTTAATTGTTTTGTGTTTTATTTGGATAATAGCAACGATTTCCGCCAGGGTTATGTATTCACCGATGTCACTCAGGGTGTCTATTCCAGTTTGTTAGTATATATTTATAATATATAGCTAATTTTTTTGTTATAATGAGTGCAATATTTTACCTTTCTCTATCCTTCTGAAAACGATATAAATGATGACCTTATTTGTATAATGTGTTGTAATTTATTGCACAGCAACGTCCTAAAATGCTGTACGTCTCCATAGCGCATCGCGGTGTACACTTTTTTAATTGAGAATTGACTATTAAATACGCGACGACTTGGTAATGAAAGTTTGGTAGAAGTTTTTCAGATCCAGCCGTACGGGGCGCCCCATTGTTTATATTCCCACCATGCATTTTTGTAGAACACTTTTTTTCTGTAGAGAACTCTATCTTGTGTTTCTAGTATCTTTGAGATCATTTACTGCCAGACTTTCGTTCATGCAAGTTATGTAATTATTTTGTTTGCAAGAAATCTACTTGGTCTACATGTTGAAAAAAATAGCACTACATCAGTACTGACACTATTGTAAGTTGCTTTTATTATACATAAGCAATCAAACTTAAAAATTATTTTAACGGCATAAAAATAACAATGCAATTTTCTGACTTCAAATACAAGTTCTTTAAGAAACTATGAAATCAAACCAATTTTTATACAATATTTACTATTACAGACCAAATATAAACAGTTCCTCCCTCATCGATAAAAACAAAAGCAAATAATCTATTGTTCCGATTAAAAAAAAAAAAATGCCCTCCCTCATCAATTTCTTTTTAAAAAAGAGTGATAATGTAATAATGTTTTCTATGTGCCCTTTACAATAGCGCACCGTCTTTCGAATGAGATGTTTACCAGTAGCCGTTGGTCGGAAATTACACTTTTATATAGCAAAATCCATCCTCATCATATCACCATTATTAGTTTTGGAGTTTCTCCGTTTATTTATGCAAAACTTGGCACTCTGATTTTGGGTCGAAAATCTCCGCTTTTTTATGCATTTAGGCCAGCTGAAATAAATCGCGCATTTCCGAATAGAAATGATAATCCTATGATTTAGATAAGAACAAGACCATTTAATTTCGTCCTGAGTAACTAAAGCTTACTAAGTTTTAACCATACTATAATAATTATGATCAACAAATTACAACATTCCTTTACACCTTTAAAGCACAATTTGCTTCACTTTTTAATATTATTAATATTATTAGGCTATGTATTATTATTATCGTCACCATCATTAATATTATCATTACTAATACTAGTAGTGGCATTATGAAACAAAACTTTGTAAAAGCTTGCAAAAGTATAAAAACCAAACTGAACTGTACAATATTTCATTTCTGTATTTAAGAAGACCTGGCCTGAGGTTTATGGATTTAAGATGGTTAAAAATCACGATAGGCCTATTAGGCTTATAGTTATAACGTGTGCTGATGCTTTTATGTATGAACAAATATTCATTTTGATTGATCCCAGGAAAAAATTTGTACTGGCAGGAAGAACAAGCTTTAAAATTTTAACACGGTGCTCAAAGGGTGGCGTGTTGTTGTTAATAAACTTTACGTCTATGTGTTTAAGTGCTGATTTGTCTCAAGCTTTTGATAAGAAACTTGGAATGATCCTTGTTCTATTTGATTTGTCGGCAGCTTTACACACCATTGACGAGTCCATTTTATTAAAACGCCTTGAAACATTGTTTGGCATCACTGGCAGTGCGTTGCAGTGGATTAGATCCTATTTGGTAGGTAGATCTATGTGTGTTACACTTTCCAGTCATCTTTCCGGTCACTTGAGTATGGTGTTCTTTAGGGTTCTGTGGTTGGACCCTGCTTTTTTACAATACCTTAGCAAACTAGGTAATATTATCAGGAAGCATGATGTTAACTTTCACTGATGATTTTCAATTATACCTAAAATTTAATCGTTTAGATCCTTTTAGTATTGATGATTTTGTTTCTCGGCTCTAATTGTATCACTGAATTTCAACAGTGGATGACATTGAATAAACTAAAGCTTAATGAAGGTAAAACAGAGCTTCTGGTCTGTACTTCTAGAAACCAACAGTCATCACCATTAGTTAGGAATATCCAACTCTATGTTAATGGATCTCTCATAAAGGCTTTTAAAAATGCTCGTAACTTGGGTTTTACATTTGACTCCACACTGGATTTAAGTTCTCAGGTGAGTAAGGTATGTAGTAGTGTATGTTACCATTTGCGTAACTTCTGGAGGATTCGAAGATTTGTTAATCAAGATCACTTGTCATGCAGCAGTTAGAGCCTTCGTACTATCATGAGTTGACTATTGTAACTCACTCTATGGTGGTCTCTTCAAGAAAGACATTGATAGGCTGCAGAAATTGCAAAACTTCCAACTGACCTTAGAGATATCTCCGATCCTAA